ACCATCGGCTTTACTTGATTTCATAGACATATGTGCATGAAATCGTGCTACTTCACTTGATTTCAAAGCCGCATTCAGTGTGAAGCAGGAATAAGGCTCAGTTAACACCAATGCGTTTTTTAGTGCTTTTTGCAGAAACACACATGTAACAGGGTTTCCTGTGGAACATGTTCACATCTATGTTTTTTTGAGCTGCTGCGTTTTTTGGAAAGGGCTGACTTTTTTAAAAGCAACAATAGCTTCTCAATGGAGAAGCTGCTGAAATGCATGGCAGTGTGTTTTTGCCGCGTTTTGCATTTTTTTTCTGCCCAGCAGTAAAAAAAAAATTCCACTTTAACAAAAAAAAGAGCTGAACAAAACATGGTAAAAAACAGTCAAAAACATATCATAAACTCACGTAGAAGGGGAACAAGCTGGAGGATCCTGAGTATGGCACTCAACGGGAAATCGCTGTAAGATCTCCAAACCCAGGCTCCTCCAGCGTTCTGCCAACAGACCTATATATGGCTAAAAAAAAGATGGCCAGGAAGGAGGAGGGCGACTTACCTGCTGCCATATCCCACGGGTGAGCTCCGGCGCCCGGCTTGACACCCGCGGACCCTCGGTGTGCTGGAGGGTGTGCAGGAGCGTGGTGGAGAGAACCCGAGCCGAAGGACGAGGAGTCCCGGAGAACCGAGGCACAGAGGACACCAGCTGATCATGTGACCTGCTGCAGGGGAATCTAAGGAGAGAGACACTGGCCGGCATACGGCACAGGAGAGGACATGCAGCCCTGAGCTCCACTCTCTCCCTCTCTCCCCTGTCTCCTTCACCTCCTTGGTTTGATCTCTCCCCGGAAGCTGGAGTATATGAAAAATAAATGGTGGGAACTCCGGCCAGCACTGCTGAAGGAAGACCGAGGGCTGGGCCCACAGATTCAGAGGGTACACGATGCCACACAGACACAGACAGCGGTTCTTTTAAAACAATTACGTTTACTGAACAGTTATAGTGATCATGTAGTTGAGCATACGTAAACAGAATGATAACAGTGCATAACCATACAGTAAGAATAATACTGTCTAACACTAACCACGTACTTGCAGACTTTTTCCCAATGTCCAGAAAGCAGCCTGGCTGCGCCTGAATGTTCCTGAGCAAGATATAACGTTGGGGTGCACCCTAAGTATTGCGCAATACTATTTGTAATCCAAAGGAAAGTGGAGTGTGTCTCTTGTAACTTTCTGGTATATCCAAAATGTCACTGACCACGTGTGGTGCGATGTGCTGCGGCAAAGCCGCACTTACGGTTCCCTGGCAGGCTCTTGGTGCTTTCTCCTGACGCACTCCATCACTTGCTTCCTGGTCTCGTTGTGAATCTTCCTTAGGTGCCCTCGCCAGATTCCACTGTCAGGAATGGATTCAGCATTGGTGGTGGGACTCTCCTGCCGTTGTGTGGGCTGCAGTACCAGAGCTGACCAGCGGGTGCTCTCAGCACTGGTGGTGGGACTCTCCTGCCGTGTGGGCTGCAGTACCAGAGCTGACCAGCGGGTGCTCTCAGCACTGGTGGTGGGACTCTCCTGCCGTGTGGGCTGCAGTACCAGAGCTGACCAGCGGGTGCTCTTAGCAGCCAGAAGCTCACAATCAGCCAAACCTGGGGCTGATTACAGAAAGGTGTATATAAGGCATGACCAGGCCTGTGCTCTTTGCCTTGGTGTATGTCCCCCATGTGCCCCTGTATCCTGTTCCTAGTTCCTGTGAGAAGATACCTTGTTGCCGACCCTGTCTGATCCTGATTCCTGTTGACCGTCTCCTGTTCTGACTACTGGCTCATCCCTGACTATTCTTCTGCCTGATCCTCTGTACTGCGCTGTCCGTGAGTTACTGAACCCGGCTTGTGACCTTGACCATTCTCTGCCTGCTCCTTTGATACCTTGCTGCCCGCACGTTGCTGACTTGGCCCGTCTGACCACGCTAACTACTCTGCCATCCATCCATCCTGCACGGATCCAGCCGTACCTGCACATACCTCTGGCGGATCCCTCTATCACTAGCAGGTGTACTCAGGGGCCGCGACCTGGTTCCTGTCTGCTCCAAGTCCATCCCCACCATCAGGGGCCCTGGTGAATAGCAGACTGGGACTTAGACTCCGCGCCCTGGGGAATCCTGCCCTGAGGACCGCTAGAGGTACCACCAGGCAGTCGTTACAGAACCCTACGGCCGGCCTGACCATTCCACCTCTCCAGCCCTGACTACGCCGGTGTTTCCTGCACCTCCTAAGATTAGTGGAAGGTTAGTTTGTTCACTGTGCGTTTTATATATATATATATATATATATATATATATATATATATATATATATATCTGGGTGGCTAATAATACCTGTATTATACTATACCTGAGACCTGCGTTTCCCTGTGTCAGTCCGCACCTTTCTGGTCATTCCTTGATTCCTGACATCACACCAAGGCCTTTCCTGACCAGAAGTGGCTGCACAGGGAAGCCATCTTGACTTGTTGTGCAGGATGCATCCTGATGAGGTTATATATTTGTCTATGCTAGTCTTTGATGACAGGGAATATGCCTATCAGACTCTGCGGGAGTATACCCGGGATCAGCTGCTAGAGTGCATACGGGTCGCTCATTCCCTAGTAGGTCAGGTCCTAGAGCTCTCTGAGGTGCAACCATTGATTCAGGCTTGTATTGAGTTGGCTTCATCTAGTACCCCTGAAAGCAGGGATGAATTTCTTCCTCCATTCAGGGCGAGTCAAATAATATCACTGGTATGGTTGTTGGAGGATGATCCGGATTGCTTCTTGGAGCATTATTCAGCATATTCACCACAGGTGCTAAAGAAGTGTATAAACGCAGTGCAAACTTTGATCAGACAGGCCTTGTGTAAGCTGAGCGTTGTCCAACCCTTACTGCAGACATGGTCAGACTTGTTACACCCAGCCTCAATCAGCTTGCAACGAACCAGTCCTGTTTCTCATCATTCCTCTGCTCAAAGCTCTTTTCCTGCATTCCCGACAGCACCCCCAGTGACAGCCCCCCCAGTGACAGCCCAGTATACCCAGCAATCTGCCACATGTCGGTACCCTACTCCCACTCACTGTACTGTCGTGCCAGTTGACTCGGTGCCAGTTGACTTGGTGCCCGCTGTCGTACCAGTTGACTCGGTGCCAGTTGACTTGGTGCCCGCTGTCGTACCAGTTGACTCGGTGCCAGTTGACTCGGTGCCCGCTGTCGAGCCAGATGACTCGATGCCAGTTGACTCGGTGCCCGCTGTCGTGCCGGTTGACTCGGTGCCGCTGTCGTGCCGGTTGACTCCGGTGCCCGCTGTCGTGCCGGTTGACTCGGTGCCCGCTGTCGTGCCAGTTGACTCGGTGCCCGCTGTCGTGCCAGTTTGACTCGGTGCCAGTTGACTCGGTGCCCGCTGTCGTACCAGTTGACTCGGTGCCCGCTGTCGAGCCAGATGACTTGATGCCTGATGATTCGGTGCCAGTTGACTTGGTGCCCGCTGTCGCACCAGTTGACTCGGTGCCAGTTGACTCAGTGCCCGCTGTTGAGCCGGATGACTTGATGCTTGATGACTCAGTGCCCGCTGTTGAGCCGGATGACTTGATGCTTGATGACTCGGTGCCCGCTGTCGTACCGGTTGACTCGGTGCCAGTTGACTCGGTGCCCGCTGTCGTACCAGTTGACTCGGTGCCCGCCCGCTGTCGAGCCAGATGACTCGATGCCTGATGACTCGGTGCCCGCTGTCATGCCAGTTGACTCGGTGCCCGCTGTCGAGCCAGATGACCTGATGCCCGAGGACCCAGTGCCCGCTGTTGAGCCACATAACCTGATACCTGATGACTTGGTGCCCGCTGTCGTGCCAGTTGATTCAGTGCCCACTGTTGTGCCAGTTAATTTGGTGCCTGCTGTCAAGCTTGGTGACCCGGTACCCGCGGTTCTGCTAGAAGGCTTGGTGCCCGCTGACGTGCCCGGTGACTCTGTGCCCGCTGTCGTGCCAGATGACTTGGTGCCCGCTGACGTGCCTCTGCCCGCTACACAGCCCGACATGCCAGCCCCTGATGTCCAGTTAAACTGGCCGATAACTGATACCCAGCCTGCTCCTGGAAATCCTGTGCCCAGTGACCTGCCTTCCTTGGTTCTCCTACACAAAGAGAAGTCTACCAGCAGGAAACCCAGCCAACCGGTTTACTCCGGCAGTAGGATATTCAGCCAGTTACCGGACCCGGGCGGTGGAACATTTTGCCCACTAAGGACTGTTTGGAGCGTCCTGAGGCCGCTCCTTGAGGGGGGGGTTCTGTCAGGAATGGATTCAGCATTGGTGGTGGGACTCTCCTGCCGTGTGGGCTGCAGTACCAGAGCTGACCAGCGGGTGCTCTCAGCACTGGTGGTGGGACTCTCCTGCCGTGTGGGCTGCAGTACCAGAGCTGACCAGCGGGTGCTCTCAGCACTGGTGGTGGGACTCTCCTGCCGTGTGGGCTGCAGTACCAGAGCTGACCAGCGGGTGCTCTTAGCAGCCAGAAGCTCACAATCAGCCAAACCTGGGGCTGATTACAGAAAGGTGTATATAAGGCATGACCAGGCCTGTGCTCTTTGCCTTGGTGTATGTCCCCCATGTGCCCCTGTATCCTGTTCCTAGTTCCTGTGAGAAGATACCGTGTTGCCGACCCTGTCTGATCCTGATTCCTGTTGACCGTCTCCTGTTCTGACTACTGGCTCATCCCTGACTATTCTTCTGCCTGATCCTCTGTACTGCGCTGTCCGTGAGTTACTGAACCCGGCTTGTGACCTTGACCATTCTCTGCCTGCTCCTTTGATACCTTGCTGCCCGCACGTTGCTGACTTGGCCCGTCTGACCACGCTAACTACTCTGCCATCCATCCATCCTGCACGGATCCAGCCGTACCTGCACATACCTCTGGCGGATCCCTCTATCACTAGCAGGTGTACTCAGGGGCCGCGACCTGGTTCCTGTCTGCTCCAAGTCCATCCCCACCATCAGGGGCCCTGGTGAATAGCAGACTGGGACTTGGACTCCGCGCCCTGGGGAATCTGCCCTGAGGACCGCTAGAGGTACCACCAGGCAGTCGTTACAGAACCCTACGGCCGGCCTGACCATTCCACCTCTCCAGCCCTGACTACGCCTGTGTTCCTGCACCTCCTAAGATTAGTGGAAGGTTAGTTTGTTCACTGTGCGTTTTATATATATATCTGGGTGGCTAATAACCTGTATTATTTATACCTGAGACCTGCGTTTCCCTGTGTCAGTCCGCACCTTTCTGGTCATTCCTTGATTCCTGACATCCACTGTGAGCCGTAAATCCTCTTCCAGGCCCCACACAGATTCTCCAGATGTCCTCAGCATCCAACAGCCAGACCCAGACTCACTTCCTTCTCAGCACAGGAACTCCTCCCTTCCCATAGAGTTTTGTGATGCAGTAAGTCATTTTCTTAATTGCAGCCTCAAACCTGCATTTACAGTTTACTATGACACTTCTGAGGGTCCTACTCGGCCCCTAATTTAGTATTCATTAAACTTTATAGGGTAAATAAGCATTTATCTTGTCTTAGCAAAAGTCACTACAAAATCGATTCTTGTACTTTGCTGCCATCTACTGACCAAAGAGAGCATATTGCAGTTTAACATTACACACCAGTATTAATCCATGCGTCACACCCTTACACAGCTTTGATACAGGCACACAGGCTTAGCTTCCAGTGCTAGCAGATAAAAAGCAGTTTCCTATGGCATAGACTGACAGTACAAAAGTATAGCTGCAGAAGTGATATACCCTGGAAAAGACTGCTGAATTGGAGGGACCTTCTTTTGCAACCCCTTTGCCAACGAAACCGCCAGATGCCACCCCCCCTCCCCAGAGGCGAAGAAGTGAGAGCTAAAAGGGTGAGTGAGAGTGGCAGAAGAGAATGGACTGTACTATATGTTAAAGTATTAAATTGAAGAATGAAGTTGATATGGATGGTTAAAGGAGCAGGGGTTGCACTCAGGGGACATTACGGGGATTAAAGAGGGTCTCGTATTTAAATATATTTAAATAGAGGATGGGAAAGAAAAAATAAATGAGAGAACGCTAGCTCCTGTAGAGGGTCAACGAGGGAGATAGGAGGAAAGAAGAAGGGGAAGATTTAATAGGAGGAGCAGATTATTGATCCTGTCAGATATCGGATAATGGAATTGTATTAAAATGATGAAAAAAAACAACAAAAGGAGGTGGGTCAAAGGCCCCCATATCAAGCTCAATTAAGAAATATATCCAGGACAGGATAAACGGACCACTGAGAGGCAAAGTGGGATAGAGAACAATAGTGGTGAGAGCCCCAGATTATCCCTGGGAATGTCTAATTAGCCAAATACCAAGAAGAAGCAGATATTGAGAAAATAAATGTTCCGCAGAATTTGGAAGATCAAGACTCACATTTGCCAACTAAATCAGAAACAGCAGAAATGTTTAAAGGTTTGGAAACATCTATAAAAAAAGAGATGGTAAAGTTGCATAAAGAACTGGGGCAGGTTCTTTCTAGAGTGGAAGAGATGGAAGAAAAAACAAACACACTCAAGACATACAGACCTTAGAAAACAAAATGGTGGATGGAAATGAAAAAAAAACAAAGAAATCTGTTATATAAATTGGAAGACCAAAAAAATAGGAATAGAAGATGCAAATTAAGGATAACGTGGGCTACCAGAGAATTCTCGAGGAGAGGACCTGAGGGAAACAATAGAAAAAATGTTTGACACTATAATAGACAGATC